ATTTATGTATATTTTATATCACGTGATGGCCTGAAATGGTAGCACTGGGTTCTTAGGTTCTTTGTGCATGATAATGGAATGGTAACCCCGTTTGCGCTCTCGGCGTATGCTAGTGGGGCACCAGTGAGTGGTGACAGGTAGGGGTGAAAACAGGTCAATTAACCCATCGTGACGGATTCCACAAGAATTAATCAGCATTGTTTCCAGGGGGAACCGCGTGAAGGTTGACCCGATAGAGTATATTGCTAGCAATGGGGATGGACGTCCCCATTACTAACAGTCCGTCTCTGTCGGATTATTAGGTTTAGAAGACGAACCAAAATAGGTGAAGTGATCCTATCCAGGCACCGAATATGGCTCTACCTACTTCGCTGTAATATTTTTGCTAAATTTATAATTACATTTATTTATTAACATCCTATAGTTTTCTTTCAGCTTCTCAAACGTTGACTGTAAGAGATATCTGTATGGAATAAGTCCGCCATTGTATAATTAAGTCTTTTAATATGTCCAATGTAAATTATGTACAATAAAGATTTTTTTTATAATATAATACATTTATTTATTTACTCAATTATTACAACGATTCTTGCATCATGTATTTTAAGTAGATATAAATGTATGCTTTGTTGGTTGTCCTTAAATAAATAAATAAATAATAGGATTTCATCTTATTGCTTGGCTCGGCCAGTAGTCAAAAATTGAACATACCTACACGCTTCCACCGTAGACATTTAGGTTAATTTATATTCCAGACCATAAGATAATACAAATAATTTCACGCATGTAAAATCGCAAAGAGTAACATCTAGTTTTAACAAATAGTAAATCCCAAGGCTCAAGGCTACGACGTTACGAATAATTTGATTTTTTTTTTTTTGTTTTTGTATTTCGAATTTAAATATATTCGAAATACAAAAATCCAGAAACAAATCAATGCAGACTTACCCATAACTGCTAGGTCTAGAATCGTGAAAAAAAAACATAAACCTACATATATTTTTTACAGTATGCAGAAAATACTACAATATAACATTCTTTTCTAGTCAATTGATAATCGGTTAAAAACAAAGTTCCGTGTCACGTCTATATGTCTGTATATACACAATAATCTCAAAAAGTGCTGAACGGATTTTCATGCGGTCTTCATTTATCAACAGAGAGATTCCTGAGGAAGTTTTAGGTATATAATTCGTTAATGTTTTGGGTAAGTTGATTAATATATGACAATGATCGTCGAAAATGTCGGAAAAAATCAAGCCATTTGGGAACTTTCATCGAAAACGCTGTCTAATCCGTTTGAGATATAACAAAAAATATATGGTGGGGTTGTTTCTCTTTTATAGGTCTACAAAAAAGTCCGCGTAGACTGTCTATATTTTAATGATAGCTTACAACACCCATTTAACTCAAAATTGACGCAACATACTGATGTAAAAATTTTAGCAATTATGGTGTACTCCCCGTGCGTCTGGCTACGCAGGTCAGGCAGGTATGAAAATAAACAAACAAGCATCTAAGAAACGTATAAAAAAGTAATAAGGAATTTCCTATTTAACAGTTGCTGTTAATCTGTGATAATAGTAATTATAAAATGGCAGGTAAGAACGCAGGTAAGAAAGATGAACAATGGTGAAGGGTGTGTACTAAGAATTTTGCATTTCTTTGGCATTTGCATGCTATTTTGCATACCCGTAACAATTAACAATCACCGTATGCCTTGAACAAAACCTCAACAATATATTCACCAAATATTTCAAATATATAATGATAAATGATGTTTATCACTACCGGAGAACTGACCGGAAAGATAAATTGATGCATACAATTTAGCATTCGACTTAAAGTTTTAAGTCGCATGCTTTTTTTCTTAATAGATAATTTAACAATGGAATGGTAACCCCGCCTACCATATCGATATACACTGACCAAGCACCGGTAAGTGGTGATAGGTGATATTAAGTGATTAACATTCCCATTACTAGCAATTCTTCTCCCTCCAAGTCACATGCTGTCCCTTGTAGAAAATCTTTATTGATAATGATATTAAAAATGTGAAAGTGAGTTTGTTAGTATAACACTTCTTAACGCATTAATGGCTTAACTAATTACTATGAAATTTGGTACCTATACACGTACTTTATGAGATGGAGAAGGACGCAAACTTTTTATCTAAGTCAGTAAAGATATCCCGGTTACGGGATAAAGTCACGGTTAAAAGTTAATTTCTGTATAATGAAGACAATTAAAAATTGTTTTTCAAAATCATAACACTCTGCTAAATTTACCGATACTTTTTGGTCCCAACTAATATTTTAGATAAAATAAATAAATAAATCATTACTCTCTTGGACTAGATATGACATAAATATCTATACGAACTTCATCACTCGACCTTAAATGTATTTCAAGGAGTACACTCCAAAAATCCAACACGTCTGACAGCATTTATAAAAATTAAACCACACCTTTTTATTTAAATTACCACAACATTTTATGAAGAAACTAAAGTAGTATTTGTTACCAACTATATCGGGAAATTTATATAATAATATTGGTAGCCGTACAAGAAAAATTTAAACCGTTCAGTGAGCTATGGAGTTTCACTGTATTATACAATTTAAAACGAGTTACGATAGTTTCTGTAGGGGAACTAAAGTATCCGACGAATTATGAAGGATCAGCAACCGGAAGTAACAATAAGCCAGCATGGCAACATTGAATTCGAAGAATAGATAAACGATGGGAACGAATTCTCAAATGGCAACCCCAAAAAATTAATAGAATAATGAATTACTATTATAATACTATAGTACTATTATTTATACAGTGATTTTCATCGTCATCATATCAGCCTTTGAATGTCTACTGCTGAACATAAACCTCCCTCTTAAGGGGTTTTGCCAGTAGCTGCCACGCTTGGTAGGCAGATTGGCAACTGCAGTCAAGCATTGGAGATGTCTTAAGAAGAACGCTGTCCATCCTTCGCTTTCCCTCGCCTCTTACGATACCCACGGAAAGGAAGGGATGGCCTATAGGCCGGAACCACACGGCCAACAGGAGTACATTGGGGGGAAAGGGATTGTTAGTAATGGAGACTGAGAATCCCATTGCTAGCAATATACCCCAGCTAGGTCGACCTCCTCGCGGTTCCCCCTGGAAACTATCATGATTAATTCCTGATGAATTCATCATGATGGGCAACTGGATTCTCATCTATCACCCTTCACTGGTGCTCCGCCAGCGTAAAGCGCAGGCGATACCTTGGGCTCAGAAAACGGTATCTACGATATATCTGCCTCCCATTGCGTTGCATGTCAGTGTACTTTGCGGCCGGCTACAGTAGTATTACTATACAAAAAATATTCACATTTTACATAGCTATTTACTGGCAACACTGTTTTACCGATGATAAAATATTACCCTAATATAGAAGAAACTTGATTGCAATCGCTTATCAAAGTTATCTATTGATATAACAATAAATATTTATTGATTGCATGTTCAGTAATGATAATATATTAAATCGATTTCATATTTTTATCAAATTATATATAGGCTATAATTGCCTAAACCTACGTTGTCCATATTAAAAATAAGGAAAAACAATATTACAAATACCTATTAGAAATATAATTAATATTAATAAAATAAGCAGGAAGATACCTATTTTTTCACAGAATGTCTCTGACTTCTCTTAGAAATAACATACTACATATGATATTATTATTAAATATTCTAATTCCATTTTAAATATATGAACAACACTTACCTTACTGTTTACTGTTTATGATATTACACATTTTATTAACAATGATTATCCTGATTAACAATAACAATCTTGTTTTTAAAATTTGATATATTTCCTGCCGGAAACTGTACGTTCAATCTTAATTTTCCACTATTCGTCCGATTTCGCGCGAATAGATAGAGAGAAACAAATTGTTGATACTTTGAGTTACTTTATTGTAATGTTCGTAAGGATCTCTATTTTTTTTTTTTATATTGTAGCCTATGTTACTCGCAATTTTTTTTTTTTCTTAAGGTAAAATTTTTTTAATTGGTCGAATAGTTTTTGGGTCGTTATAAATAACAAACGAACATACAAAGATTTAAACTTTCCTTTTTATAACATTAGTAATGAATTCATTTTAATTTACCTTTCATTTACACTAGTAAATAGTAAAAAATATGCCATCTTGCCATCTTTCTAAAGGTAGGACATACTTTCCACTGGAATCATAGTTATAAGCACAACGAGGGATACCATGAGGTTTTAATCTGTAGGAATCTAGCTGTACTCACACACTACTTACTCTAAGGACATATTATTCATAATAATAATAAAAAAATAACAACATTATTAAAGCTTATATGTCCTAAATAAAAAATCTCCTGGTTTTTTGCAATCTTTTTTATTTGATCTCTAAAGGGTTGATATTCAAAACCATAAAATACATTAATAAAAAAAAAAACAATTTAAGGTCGACTCTATGGCACCATTCTCTAAACTTATCTCTAAAAATAAATTATCAATTTGATTTTACAGTGAAATCTTTATTCTAATGAAGTAATTTTTCAAAAAGTTAAGTCATAATTATTTAAAATTTTAGAGTTAGGTTTAGGAAATGGACCCCAATGTCAGTATATTTTTATCTGTCAAACTGTCATTCCATCAGTGGTCATTCCCTTTTCCTTTCTTGTCGTTTCCTTCATGCTATTGTCAAAAAAAATACAAACTACCCTCGTGAATTTAAAAGCTAATGATTTTTTTTTTCATAAAATGTTAAAATATAAAGGTAATAAAATAGTACTACCAAAGTTAGTGTACTTATTTGTGACCTAATTTTATAATTAAGTGCTAATAACGACATTGTACACAAAAAAAAAAAGTAATAAATTTATTATTTTAATGCATTGCTAAAATGGCGGACTATCTGTGACCAAATAAACAAGCTTTATTATTCATATCATATCCTAATATTAATTCAGTCTGCAGCGCGACATCCATTGAACCCAAACACTAGTTGAAAATAATAAAATATAACTTATCATAGTGTCTGTAGTTGCTTTGTAGGTGTAGCTTGTGTGTTGTGTTGTCTCGGACGCTCGTTTTACTTGTTTATTTTGGTATCGCTCGTACGCACGCTCGCAACGCGAGTCCGGTTTTCGCGCTGTTCGCCTAAATATCTTTCTTTGTTGTATTTAGTTCGGTACTTATATTTTCGTCCTATGTATTTAAATATTGTGATAGTGCATAAAGAATCCTACTTTAATCGTTGCATAGTGAATATCCGAGTATTTGATATTATATGTACAGTTACGGACACAGACAAAAAATGCTGGAGTTATAAGATATTTCCATTCAAACTGTTCATTGGAGCCGCAAGACATTTTAAAAATATGGCAGGCTTGATTAAAGTTAAATGCGATGGTCAACCAGCAAGAAGGAACAAAGATACACGTTTATTAGTAAACGCGGGAAACAATGTGGTTTATATTGATAAGGCAACTATTGTTGACACAGTCGAGCCTAGAACAGGTTAGTATATATATTTATATTATAATATAGGTATATATATATATTATATTTCTAATATCATAAACTTTAACTTCTGTATAATACCATGCTTTTTTAATAAAAACTAACGTGTTATATTTTTCAGATAGTCCAGCCGCCGTGGATGTCGAGATTAAAACAAACTTGGCGGTTCTATTTCCAAAAAAATTGAAATTCGCGTTTGCCTTAAATGTTTTACTGGCATTGCTAAGTATTTTTATAAGTTTAACATTTGGCTACTTGTACTGGATACAAATGGAATTGATGAAAGAACAAATAAACATGATAATAGGAAAGTATAACATTAGCGAGTCCAGATCTCACCAGGAGTCGGCGCGGCACCTAATTCACGCTGAGCCTGAAGTAATTAGTGCCCACTATCCAGTGCCTAAAGTTAATAATTTTAAAACGCCTAACAAAGACATTATCCAGAATGTTGATATTGGATCACAAGATATCCCTAATATTACATCATCACTTAAAGGTAAATATATTATATTTAGAATAACACTAAAATAGTAGACAAGCAAATTTGCCAAAATAAAAAATGTCATAGTCTTTATCCAACACAGATGGAGATTCATTCATTCATTCTATTCATTTTGCAACTAAAAACAATGTAATTGCTTGTTCTTAGTTTTGTAAAGCATATCTTAATACTTTCTAATCACTATTTTAAATCTTTATAATCTATATAACTCTTGTAGGGAAGGTAAAGAGCTTCATTTATTCATTGACAATTTGGTTCGTCATAACTTTAAAATTAATATAAAAACGACACGAATTTAAGAAAATTTTCTTACTATGTATTTGTGCTATTAATATATTTCTAACCATTATTTTTTTAACGGTTACTGCCTCAACTTAACTATATTTACCTTCGTAGTATAGTCATATCATCATCATAGCAACTGCTAACTATCCGCTGCTGAACATAGACCTTCTCCTTAAGGGGTTTTACCAGTAGTTGCCATGCTTGTCAAGCAAGTTGGCAACCGCAGTTAGGCTTTGGTAATGTTTTAAGAAAGACACTGCTACCCACCCCTCGACCAATATGTTCCCTTAATCACCTCTTACGACACCCATGAAAAAGGAAGGCGTGGCCCATTCTATGCCGGGACCACACCTCTTGTAATATAGTGGTTAAGAATGATTAAAATATCATTTTCATATTTTAATAATATTCTTACATCAATTCGCAATTAACAAATTGCTAAGTATCTAATCAAAAATAAAAAAATGTTTAACTCTATTCACGGAAATATGGGCTTTACTTCAATAGCTTTTAAGTGTGCGTTCCTAACTCTAAACTCTTGGGTATACCATAACAATAACTATTATACTTACATTTCTTATCTGTGCATATTTTTTTTGCATGCAACAATGACATACCATATTACACCTGAAAATAAACCTTATGCTGGTGACATGAAGTTTAGTTTAGTTTTCATATAAATCGGACAACAGATATCATAATCTGGATATCTTAATTACTGAATACCTAACCTTGGGGAGCATATAGTTAGTTTGGTATGTTTGGAATTTACCAACTGTTACCTGGAAGTGTACCATGCTGTACACTTCCTGTTAAATAACATAAACATTAACTAGAGCTACACAATGAACTAGGTACCTGCTTTATATATATGTTGTTTGGTTCCATTTAAAACATATGTGTAGATTCTTAAAACTTGGAACGTCATGTCCCAAGTTCAGTTCTAGGTCAGATCTATTGACTTATCTATGTATTAAGATATTATTAAAGATTAGCCTTATTTGTTTGATCTAAGTATATATGCACAATCTTATGTTAAGAGATAATTACTTTACCTTAAAATTATTAAAGACCAGATAGATTATTATTGTACTCTTATATTGGTTATTGTTTTATTAGCATTAGGTATTACATACATACTACAACTAATATTCCTGTATTTTACTTACTTTTTTTTTATTTGTAGTAGTAATATATAAATATCCATAGTTCCACAAATTTATTTCTAGATTTCAGTTAGATATGTCAGTAATACCACAACATAAATAATCATATTATAATACCTTGACTTTTATTTACATATTACTATATATAACATTTTTTTTATAAATTATAAATAAATGATAATAACCACTGAACTATTATAAGGAAAACTATGAATATTAAAGTATATTAAAATATATTATATAAGATTGATTGGAAGAATCCCTTTAAGGGATAAGTTGTGTACATTTTCGTTACAACCTAATAAATATATAAAAACTTATTATTTAACGTCCTTGATGAAAAAACAAATTAATATAATATAATAATAGAAAAGTATAACATTAGTGAGTCCAGTCCTGATTTATATAATATATAAATACTTATTGTTTAACGTCCTTTATTTTTCAGACCTATTTGTTGTACAATTTAACGGCGCACAACATGAAGTCAACTTAGGATCAGATCGTAAGTACTTGCTCAATTTACTAAAAAACTAACAAGTAACTTGCCTCAAAACAATCTGTTTACTGTCATAAACAAAGGAATGCAACATCTGACAATTTACAAAGGGCATTTATGCGCTGGTTACCTGCTGCTGTTAATCGTTGATCTTTACAAAGAAACATTTAAAGAATTTTGATTTAAAAGCGTTCCAAACTTTAGTTTCACCGAAGTGAAGCAACATCGCGTTTATCTGTTAATTTTCAAAAACAATGAAGCATTTTTTAATGTTTCTGATTGACTATTTAAAAATAAATACTCTATAAAATGTTAGAATACATTGTATAAAAATTGAACACAAAAAAATTTACAACTAAATATTATTATTAAAGTTACATATAAGTGATGTATTAACTACGGGATATACATACAAACATTTGTATTCGATACTATATTGACCTGGGTATTTTTAGTATACCTATATTATTTCTATTAGTTGTGTAGTACCTACTGAAGGGGGGGGAGGGTAAGGAATTGTTAATAATGTGGACTACCGATCCCATTGCTAGCAATTTACCTTGTCAGATCGATATCCACATGGTCGCCCTGGAAACCATCATGCTGAATTCCATGTGTATTAAACACGATGGGCTAACTGACCTGCCTTTTCATTCTCACCTATCATCACTCACTGATGACTCGGCAGCGTATCCCGTTGGCGCAGGCGAATTTACCATTCCGTTATCATCCATAAAAAAAAGTATCTACTGATAGTACAAGTTTTGCTTATTTTGACGCTAGATGGCGCTGTGTAATATGACCAATGGTATTTATTGTTGTATTTGACCGCGAGAAATGTCTAAATTCTGCATATTGGTAGAATAGGACAAGTGATAAGATAACGAATTTAATCGACCAACAGTTATCTTTGACGCTCAGCACGCACCAGCAATTCTGACCAGAATATAACCTAGGGGAATTCCGCAAAATTATTTTATTCTAATCCTGTAATTTTATATTATGCAGTTATCTTAACTACCTTCGTCACCTAAATCTTTCTTATCTGGTTTTAATTGTTTTTTTTTTTTAATAATAACTTCTACCCTAGACATTGTTTGTGTGAGCTTCGATTGTGTATCTAATCAAATTTTTATTCAAATCAAACATATTCGATTGAATAATAAATATTTTTTTGTTTTTATTGTAACAAACAAGTGACGACCCATTTTATGATAAGTGATAACCGTCGCCTATAGACATGAATAGTACTACAGACAACAGTATGCATGGCAATGCCTGTGATACCACTCATGCGTTGCCATTACTGAGGACTGTAGTAAATGTAAATTGTAGCTACATATTTCTTATAAGACTGAGCTTTCTATTTATGTTATTTTAGAAAAAAATATATATTTCAAAGAATTAATGTATATAGGAATATAAAAAAATACAATTTTAATGTACAAAATTATTACCGTAATGATGATTGATCTTGTATGAAAAAAACAGCGTAAAACTATTCAATGACCCCTTCATATTTTGGTAAATTTTGTGTGCGTACTTATTTATTTTTACCTACATATTGAATTGTTGTTTATACGAATGCCTTTAACAGACATAAGTACGCCACTATTTATGTATAAATTAAATACTAATCTTCGCAATTATCGATTGTTTCAAATAATACCATCTTATCATTATATTAATCATTTCCTACAGTATCGTGTTCTAAGCCCTCGAAATTCGACCTCATTAAGACTCTTTAGGACTTACAAAGACGAAGGAGAATTCTCGGTATTTTTTTATCTCAATCAATAGGATTTGATGAAGGGGAAAAGAGATTGTTAGTAATGGGGTTACTAATTGACCCATTGCTAGCAATACACCCTATCAGGTCGACCTCCACGCGGTTCTCCCTGGAAACCGTTGTGGTTAATTCTAGTGAAATTCATCACGATGGGCTAACTGACCTGATTTTTCATCCTCACCTGTCATGCCTCACTGGTGCCCCGCCAGTGTATCCCGATAGCACAGGCGGCGCTACCATTCCATTATCACCATTTGAAATTCATTTGAAAAAAAATTGGATTTGATGTTCGAAACGGTAAAACCCCATAAGATAACCAATGATTTTGTTTACAGCAATAATTGGACCATGGGTCCGGGACTTGAAGGTGTCGTCACCCGAAAGCCACACCAAGATTGAGCTCAACGAGAAGTATGTCATCATCAAAGAGGGTGGACTGTACTTGATTTACGCACAAGTGAGTTCTAATCAATTCTACCAATAAAAATTAAGTTAAAAAATATATTGAACACTAAAAGTCAAAGATAATATAATAAAATAAAAAAAAAGATAAGAATGCGTTACTAACGCATCAAAAATTAAACCTGGAGATAATGCTAAATTATCGCCTTTTTTACATTTATATACACTTCCGTTGCTAATACGTAGATGAACACGTGAATCTGTTAATGAAACTAATGTCAAGATACGCTCCACAATTTACTGGATACATTATATCTGACATTTTATCCGAACTAAATTTCAACAGGTCGTATACCTGACTAACGAACCAAGCTGCTTCTTAATATGGACGCGGCACAGCGCCCAGAACCCTAAGATGCTGGCGACGTGCGCGACCAGTGGCTCCAACGACCGCCCACTTGCGCAATCGCAGATATCCTGCTCTGTACAAATCATGGCAAGACTGTACGAAGATGACGTGGTGAACATCGCACAGAGGGAGAGAAATAAAACGGTCTGGCTACGACCCGGGTACTCTTATTTCGGATTTATAAAACTGGGATCGTAGACTGTATACCATACAGGTGAGGATTAAAAACTTTTCATTAAGTTACAAGTGTGGGATTCCATTAGACCAATTACGGAATCGATGCTCTACCTATGTAATCTAAGCAATAAACCTATTATATAATACACTTGTAAATTTATAAATTTGTGAGATCGCAATGTTGCCAATAATTAGCAACTGGGGTTCCTTAACAAAATAAACATTAATACAATGTGTTAAAGACTTAAGTTTTTAGGACATTTCGATTAGTTATCAATAGTTAATGACGATAGTTATCAAGTATCGTCTATGAGTTTAGTATAGTAATGATTATGATTGTAAGTTATCATTCTTAATAGACTTTTAAGCTACAATTAAGAAAAAAAATTGTGCTGCCGTTTGAAAGACTGCATTTAAATATTTTTTATTAATATTAAGGTTTATATTATAAAGGTTACAATCATCAGCCATTGACTGTCTGCTGGTGAACATGTCCTCCCGCTAGGGGGTTTTGCCAGTAGTTGCCTCGCTTAGCAGATGGGTTGTTAATCGCTGTTAGGCTTTGGTAATGTTTTAAGAGGACGTTGCTGCCCATTTCTTAACAATTAAATTCCCTTAATCGCCTCTTATGGCACCCACGGAAAAGAAAGGGGTGGCCTATTCTATGCCAGGACCGAGAGATTACAATAACTGCGGTGATATCCCTAAGAGACACACCAAACGAAATCATTTAAAATTTTGCTCAAAACAACGATCACAGTGGGTGACAGTTGAGATGTTTGCAGTTTTTAATGTAAAAGCCTGCTATGAGTGAGATTTTTGGGTCGAATTTAATAATCAATGATTGATTCTCGCGATCAAATGTTCTATTGAACACGTAAGTTACGTTTTAGTAATTTTCTCTGGTTCAATGACCTGTCTCACCATATTAGACAGTATTATACAACGCGCAGAGTTTATAATAGTTATTTACTACAAGCAAATGTTTTGATAATACAAAGTTAGTCATACCAAGCCACAGATAATAAAATTAGGGATCTTATCAACGTAACTGACCAACTGGCCACGAAAATAGTAATGTTAAACTTTCTGCAGGAACAGAAACACGGGTTTAATATAAGCTACAACGACCGTTTAACATAAGAGAAGCTTTGTACTTATTTGTCACCCTTGCGATATATAAAAAGAAAAAGATTAATCGAATTCTCTAAATAATTTTAGAATCTTTCATACTACGTAAATCGACCACGTAATCGTGTGGTTCATATTAATAATTCTAAAAATGTTTTTGGCGACCAAAGGAGCATAGTTGAACAACACTCCTGGGACAAGTTTTTGTTATTCAGTTCTACGTATACTGTTACTAGGTCTCTTCTAGAAACCCTTACCAAGTTTGCATAAGGATTTACGCTTAAGGTTTACAATATATAATTATTATTAAAAATTTTAAATCATCTTTCTTGCAATGACGCAGTCATGATTTTCATACTTATTAAGAGAAAATATTTACTGAATACAATGATTACAGGTAAATGTACCTACATACCTAATTTTACTATTACTATTAAGGTAGGTACTATTTACTTATAATCGCGTCTAGTTAAGTCCCGATAGTGAATTTAAATATGTGCAAACAAGGCGAAAGTTTGAAATTAACTAGAATCTAGATTTTTCTATCATAAGTACTTAAAAAGATATCAAACCTAGTATTTTGAATATACTTTAAAATTTAATATATTTTTATATACTTTAGTTACTTAATACATTGAAATAAATAATATGTATGGACGTGCAACAGTATATGTGTATTAAAAGTATTTATTCTGTCTATCCACAAATATTAAGTTTTTTTTTTTTTTATTATAACTATTTCAATCGGAAATACGTTACCAATAAAGTTACCGGTATAATAATAACACTACATTTCATTATATGCTTTCAATTAATATTATTTATACATAAACCAGCATAAACAATATAAAACATTTATTAAGCTATAGTTAGGGAATAGGGAGATTTTTTTTTTATTTATCTTATTGTAAAGTTGCAACATTCCAGCGGAAAAAACGTATCAATTCTATGCCATTAACCTCTATCTCTCTCTAATATTAGAAAATAAATAGAGATAAACTTTAAAAAATAAATTAGAAAAGAATTTTCAATATTTGATGCTCTTTATTTAGTGGCTAGAAAAAAATAAAAAATACTTAAGGTTTCACACCAGACGAGAGAGAAACTGTTTATTTATGAACATATTTCTAAAAAGGAATACAAATTATCTTAAAATAATATTTAGCCTCAACTCAATGTAAATATTATATATGAAACATTGGTATAAATAGGTATATTTATAAGTTAGTACAGTAGAAAATATCACTTAATAAAATAGAATTATTAATATTTTTCATTTGTAATAAATAATAATATTATAATTCAATTATATTATTCAATTATACAATAATTTATAGGCCAACAATTTGTCACTTATTTTTATTTGTATAAGTTTGCACAAGAATTAAATAATGGTGCTTATTATATTAAGTTAATTTAGGTAATAATGACTGAATGATGTAGGATGCAGTCACCACATATTATCTTCTATTTATTAATGCGATGCAAATTAGATTTAAACGAGGGCATAGTGTAAGGAACAACCAGTGGTTCAACGTATTTGACATGACAATGTCTGAACAATTCGCACGCACGCAGTTCGGGACGTGTTGCTCTGTGTTGATGTGTCCGTTGGACGACTGGTTGGAGAGTTTTTAGACTGTGAATAAAAGTATGATGAAAATATGAAAAACATTGACGTTTTATGTAATGTTGTTGTGAGATTTGAGTCACTATATTTACGTATTGGTGACTACAGATTGGCATAGACGACGCAATTTATTTGAAATAAACAAATAAACACGAAACATAAACTGGTTGCTGTGATCTTATTAAAGCTGCGGAGAGGATTCCCTATTATTCAATAAAAGAAAATCCTTTCCCACACTCACTTATCACTCGCATTTTGATAACACCATCCGTAATGTTTTCGTTAATTATCCAAAATTTTTAATATTTTTATATAGAAATTTGCCCAAAATAAAATTATACTCTAATCTTGGGTCAAAATTTGTGACGCAAAATACAATTCATTAGAGCCTGTAAAGTTTACACAGACAATGGGCATTTATTATAACGATGAACAAAACTTCCTTTATGTATGTTGTGTGCCTATATGCACAATATGTGTGCGTATTTTCATGCAATTTCAGAGGTTCTATTATGATCGCATTAAAGTTTAACTAAGCATTGTCTTTCATTGGAGTTAAAAGCCAGACTAGTTTATGCAAACAAAGGAAAATTTTGTGTGTAGAAAATAATATAATTTTCCATATTTAAGAGCATTCATTCGAAGCGTGCCGAGGTGTAACATCGTCACAAATGACACTCAATTTTTAAAAGTAATTGGAAATTTTTCTATATTTCTGATTGATTAATTATTTAAAAAATACAACATTAATCATAGACAATAGATTTTGTAACTACATCATATTTTGTTTCGCAATTTTTCAAATACTTTTTGGCCATGCAAGTCTAATTTTTTTGGTGATAGCTTAATTACAATATTATTACATCATTAAGTTTTAGTTCGCTAGTAGAGCACTTTATAAATAATCAATTAGAAACATTGGAAATTGTTCAATTGTTTTTGAAACCCGCACCTATGGTAAAAAGTAAACATAATGACCTCATGTTAATCTGTTGTAAATACTTACTGGTCAGCTAGTAGCATAGTACGATGTATTTTTCGTTTACACATTCATAAAGAGTTGTAAACGTTAATAATTTAAGATTTTGATAAATTGCAAAATAACTATTACAGATTTGGAGAAGACGTCGCATAAAGAATAAACAAACAAGGCATATTTTTCAATTCATTTGTATTTTTTTATCTGTGCTCATACTATGCTACTAACTGATGACAATTTAAAATTATCAAAACAAAATCTCAAATGGGAAATTAGCTAATACGCTAAGATAATGTGTTACTGTATATTTTTCTACAATCCTAAATTTGTTGTAAATTTATTAAATATGTATAATAATCTACTTTAGTAGTTATAAATGTGATAAATGTGTCATGTAGATATATTAAAATAATTGGGACCAGTGTTAAGACAAAAAAAAATATTAATAAGTTAACTAGGGAAAATTTTGTTCAGGTTTATTACTGACCATAATGTTTATAGAAAATTGTAAATCCTTAATTGTAATTAGGTAGATACCGTAGATAAATCTATATAAAAATTTTGCCGTCCACTTTCGGTAAAACTAATGTTGCAAAGTGAAATTCGGATTTAGTATTAAAACATACATATAAATTGTTAAATTTACAATTATTAAAGTAAATATATTGTGTAACGTAAGGGATATAGAATTATGGATAAACAATTATTGACAATACAATGACAATACGTATAAAGTTCAAATCGTCAACAACGCAGGCTTCAACAATGCAGCTTACGCAGTAGACGATTTTGCATATAAAATTTTTACTGCACAAATCATGTAATAAAAAGTTGTATCTAGTTATTAACCTGGCACGCAGTTAATTTTACGTCATTAAAATAATAAATAAGAATAAAATAATAAATATTTACATACATTCCTTAAAATTTAGTATACCTACCTACTCAATTGATAAACTTACGTCACAAAAAAGGTGTAAAATAATAAATGTTAAGGAAAAGTAAGCTTCCAAATATAATGTAGATCTATTTATTGCTCAAGTAACTCTAGAAATGTTGACTCCAAAGATGTCAGGTTTACTTCCTATATTTTGAGATATATATATTATTCTACTACAAATACAGTGATGAAACTAAATTGTAATGAGTTTTTGTCTATGGTAGTATTTTTAGTTTGTTTTTAGTCTGAATTTATTTCAAGGAAATAATATTTTTCACATTTAATATTGAAATGAGTTCACCTACTTTGTTTACTACTTTTTGTGTACTTTGTACATGTTTAGACTGCGGTTATGGAAACATAGATAGTGTGTGTATCTATATGTGGAACAATTCTTTTGGCTTTCTTTCTATATCGGTCTTTATTTTCATGCATTTGTAATAATACATTTTATAATTATATAAATGTGCCATAAAAATATTTTTTATTTTCTATACAGTAACAAATTTATTATAAAGATTTTTTATAAATAATATTAATATATTTTTTTAATAGATTATAATAAAATGTTAACCCCACCACTGGTGTATACTTGCTACCGGTATATACTTTTAATGGACGAAAATGGCATGTTAACCCTGCCTGCACTATCGGTATACACTGGCGGGATACCAATGAGAGGTAATAGGTGAGGATGAAAAGGATCGTGACAAATTCAACGATAAATTAATCACGATAGTTTCCAGGGGGAATCACGTGGAGGTTGACCTGATATGGTATATTGAGAGCAATAGGGACTAACCTTCCCTTTACTAACACTCCCTCCCCCCCCCCCCTTCCGGTATATACTATCAAGATAACAGTACGGGATTATAAGTGAAGATAAATTCAAATCAGTTAGGTCGTTGTGAAAAATTCATGAAAAATTAAACACAAAAGTTCAAATTTTGTGTCAAATGGTTATATAGACCAATCATTACTTGAAGATGTTTACCTCTCGTATTCATCATATCATCCATTAACTGTCCACTGCTGAACATAGGTCTCTCCCATAAGGCGACTCTGCCAGTAGTTGCCACGCTTGGCAGGCGGGTTAGCAACCGCAGTTACGTTTCGGTGAAGTTTTAAGAAGGACTCTTCTGTCCATCTCTTGACCATTGTTAGTCGCCTTTTACGACACTCAAGGAAAAGGAAGGGGTAGCCTATTCTATGCCGAAGCCACACAAGCTCTAGTATTAAGAGTTTCTAATTATTTGTAGTCTATGCATATTGCTCATCCTTAAATTCAAAATAAAAAAAAAATTGTTTACCTTTTCTTACAAAACTTGTACGATAACGCTTAAATAGATTAAAATTTCTTTCTTTGTATATATTGATATACCTTTGGGTAGCATACATGATCAACCAGATGGTAAATATTGCTATCGTAAACAGTTAACAGTCAGACGACTTTATTACACATATTCAGTACAATCAATCTTTTAGACCTCAATGTTCAATTGTGATTTATTTACTCCGCATAGTCCTTCAAAATGAAATTCACAATAAAGTGCGAATGAGTAAATACCGTAATTAACAGCAATTTTGATATCAGGTCGTTTTTTTTTTATTTTTACTCATAATAACCTAGTTGGTATATACCAATTAATATCACAAATCATAAACAAATACGCAATATCCCTTAAAAGACTATTACATTATAGTAATTAGAAAACAACTCGACTGTGAAATGGAACGTTAACGTCAATCAACTGTGATTGATTTGAATGACAGTTATAAGTTTTGACATCTATGCTATAACATAACCTAAAAACCAAAACTAGTGTATAAAAATATCTCATTTTAAATATTATCTACCTTAATTAAATATATATTATTTTCATAGTTAAAGTAACTTACATTTTTGTTTAAAATAAAATGTTAACCAGGTTCGTAATATATATCATTATTATGCTCATTATAGGTTAATATTATTAAATAGTAATATTTAACAATAGATCAGAGATTAACATTAAAAAGTATATTATTTTAGAGTTCAGTTCAGGCGAAATTTTAGACTTATCACCAGATGTTTATCTGATAAACCTTCGGATGGCGAGGAGAAGACGCCAGAAATAAAAGTAAAACCGGAGAAAAAAACGGATTCAAGTAAAGAAAAAATTCAGGAACTGCTAAAATTAATGATGACTGAGCCTAAAATATCTGAGAGCGAGTATAGAGAGAAGTTCGCTACAGCGCCAGATGTGTTGGGTAAACGGAAACAGAAAGCCGATGTAATAGAAGCGAAAACAGAGAAGATAGGTGCGTTTTATACATCTATATTAGGTTTCTTTATAATTTTTCTTAAAACTTTTAGATATCAAAAAACATAATAAACGTAGTTTTACAGACATAGGTAAATTGACAATTGTAATAATGCAGGCTTACATTATTTTCAGAGGAGAGCATTACTAAAGCAGCATCAGAAGTGGCTCAAGCAATCGGTGGTGATGTTAAGCAAACTGAAGCAGAATTATTGTCAAAAGTTCTTGGAAAAATCAACCAATCATCAACTACACTTAGGTTTGTATGAGAAGTATATTAGTAAAGATCAATCCTCTTTAATAACATTATATGCATGCTATAATATTACAAAGAAATCTTTTACATGCATCTAAATAATTGTCTACTAAAGCAAAGTTTAAAAGTAAAATAAAAATAAGCTAAGTTATAGTAGTATTTTTTTTAAAGAAATAAAACTGACTTTTTTTTGTTTTTACTTTAAGTAAAATTATTATAACTATTCAAATTATTAAAATCATTGTAAACTGTTATTTTAATGAAAAGATATATTAAGTTTGGATACTGAATAAGCCAAAAACAGATTTAATATACACTCTTATATATCTTACTTCAAAATGAACTTATTTATACTTATATTTATATTATGTTCTAAAATTCACATATGCCCAAATATTATTTACAGTGATTTGTTAATTGGCATGAAAGTGGACCGCTCAAGAGACAGTGATGAGACTCTTCAGTCAGAAACAAGAGGACAGCAAGTTAAACGTCTTGTTGATAAAACAAGACAGAGCATACAAAAAACCAGATTCACACAACGTAAAGAAAAACCTACCTCAACCCAAATAACTAAAAAGAGGTAATATATATTAGTAGTTGTATATTATCTAGATTTACCAAATAAGTGACTATGTAAGAAAATCTGTTTGGGCAGAGATAATAAACCTAAGCAGGTTTTTACTTTAATTATGTTAGTTTCAAATGGGGGGTAGGCTAAATCTGAAATTCATGGTAATAAGGGAAATCACTTATATATCAAATAAAATTATTTAAAAATGGTGTTCAATGTTGAGATTTTAGAAATGGAAAATACTAAACAAAAGGGATGCAAGTGCATTCATTAAATCTAACTAGTCATTAGTTTTTATATTACATACATATATATTTTGATATTTGATGATGTAGACCTTCATGCAGATATTAAATCTGCACAGCATATGCCTTTTAAATTAGTTATTTTATAATCTTGTTGTAACAAGACACACCAAAACTATTTACAAAATGTACAAATTAAAAAACAAACTATATTTTACTTATCATCATTTTCAACTATGATTACACTTTTCAGCTTACCTCAGGTTAATAAAATAGATATATTTAGTGGTGAGCCACTTGGTATCTTTAGAGCTAAAGAATCTAACTTTGGCACTAAGTTGGAAGTGTGGGACAAATTAAAAGAACGTGAGCTGACTTTGGCGACAACACAGCCACCAGCCAACTATTTCCAAAAGATGATATTATGGACAGAACAAGGCAAAATCTGGAAGTTCCCTATAAACAATGAACAAGGTAATTGATATTTTGATTATACATTATTTAAACAAATTAATATGAAGTGTTTAATAAGACCAATAAATATCAAAACAATACTTTTTAGAAATGTTTTCTGTCTGTCCATATGTTTGTTCTGGCATCACACAAAAACTACTGCACCAAATTGAATATAATTATATAATAGATTGTATTCTGAGAAATAATTTGAAATAATGCCACCATTTGTCATCACACCACTTGCCATTGATTCAGAATTCATCTTCATACACTTGAACCTAAATAATCATGTACAGTACAGTTTCAAAGACATTTTCTCCCGCGAACTCTCAGGCTGTGGAATAAGCTCCCTACTGAGATTTTCCCTAGAGACTAGAGACAGTATGGGGTTCTTCAAAGAATATATATTAAGGCTTCTAAAGTCGTCAATGCATACCTAGCACCCTTGGTGCTGCAAGTCCATAGATTACAGTGGCCATTTACATTATCAGACGGGATATATGCTTATTTGCCAATTTCATGGTATAAAAAAACATCACCTTAGTTATCTATGCAACATATGCACTCAGCCACTAAGAAAGTTATGCAAATGTTAATTTCAAATTATGTTTATTTCAGGTATGGAGGAAGAACAAAACATTCACTTCTCAGAGCATGTCTTCCTTGATACTCATCTCGAAGGTTGGTGCCCCAAGAAGGGCCCCATCAGACATTTCATGGAGCTGGTGTGTGTAGGGCTTTCCAAAAATGCTTTCTACACCGTACAAGAGAAGAAAGATCACATAATGTGGTACAAAGAATACTTTGAATCCAAGAAGGATATTCTAACAGAAGTTGGTGTGTGGGAATCGCAATCAAAGAATGCTGAAACAACTTCTGTATAGTAGTTATTTAAAGAGTATATTATATAACAATTGTTTCAATATACGAAGTTAGTCAAGTTATAAACGGATTTTAATTTTAATGGTGTCATAATTTTTTGTTCAATAAAATGCTAAGATCTTACTAGTGTAGGTAGGTTACCGTAATCACATCAGGTGAATCACATGCTCGATTGTCGTCACCCTTTCACATGAAAAAAAGAGTTGACCTAACTTCAACCTCACATCATTTACTGGTATCCAACATATACCAATACAGTATTCGGAATTACCATTCCATTTTCTATTATTAAAAAAAAATTATATTAACATTTGATTTATTAAATTCAAGATTGTTTCACTAGACATTTCTATCTCATATACGAATAATTTGTCGATAAATACGAATCACTAGTTCTACCCCTGATTTAACAGTCAACAGTATGAACATATTTTATGAATACGATGTATCAATATTCTGTATATTATTATATATAATATAATATACATAAATAATCTATGTATCTTCACACAAAATTTCATAGAATAAACGGTGTGCCAAAAGCCATCTTTTGCTACGTCCATGATCATAATCCAGTTTGATGTACGCTCGCCATTATTTTTTATGTGAGAATGCAGTTTTCCTAATGGTAAGTGATCACCGCAGCCCATGGATATTAATATATAGGATAGAGGAGTCACCAATACCTCGCCGGCCTTTAGGTAAATCATTTCTCAAATCAAATTAATCATTATAAATCATAATAAAATTTCTTCATCTACAAATTACTCTTGTACTTTACCATCCTTCTACTATTCTATTGTCTATTTTGCAGTTTTTAAATGGACAAAATAAAACAATCTCTTTATTATTAACTTTATTGCACCTATGGAAGTACACTTCGTTGCTAATTTTCGATGTTGCGGATCACCATTTAACAAATCACGTTACATACAAGTTAGTATATTACTATGCACGCTTCTTGGCTCCATGCACAAATATGTATTTAAAAATCCACCTTAATTGTCTATGGATATGACCGTTTATCGGTTTCATAATTACTACAATGGAATTTTTATCTCACTTTCCCTACATTATAAATTGTGAACAGCATCAAAATCCTACTATGTATCAATACATAATACAATATTGCTATTATTAACACATCTTTGATGCTGATATGACAGTATTGGATAATATTAATATTTAAAGTACCTACCCAATTGTCTGTATAGATAAAAAACAAGGAACTCATTATATCTAAGTACATATTCTTATATTAATCGTCGTATACCATAAAAGCCTCCAAAATGTTCCAAATAAAAATTCAAAATAAATGTACTATAAACATATCAATTTGTACAAAATTGCGCCTGAGTATGTACACATTATCTTTTGAATATATAACATTTACTGATCATCGAAGTCTTAACAGATGAATCAATTATGAGGCTTTCGTTCCATTGAAAAGATACCAAAAAATATATTAACACATTATTATTAAAAACATGATGCAAACATTAGTTAGTAGTAAACAGTAAATCATGAAAACAAGTGCTCTGAGTATTCTGTTATATTCTAAAAAAGACTTCCAAACAAGAAATATTGCCAGCCAAAAAAACTACGGAACTAGTGTTTCAACAAAAAACTAATAAATGCAAAACAAAAAAGGAAGGAAGAAACTAATTATGTAGTAACATTAATAAAAAAATATTCCTAATATTGAATTAAGAACTTGCTAAATGAAACCTATTACCGCAGATAAGTGAAAAACAAAGCTTTTTATTCCACAATCATTCTCTAGTAGTTTAGCTTTATCGAATTAAACCTTATTTTTTAAATGAAATTCGTCGACTCCCTATGCTTGAACTAAATACTTGTTATTCATGCGGCTCGCGTGATAGTATACAGCCACCGCAGCCCGTAGACGCTTCCTTTGTCGTCGCCTGAGTTCATTGCATTTTAACTAGGCCTTCAAAGAAACGTCTAATCGCAACAACATCCCAATACTACGTACATTATTTATCACAACTTAAAAAAAACAGTAAACAGTCGCTAAATTAGAGCTTATTTACTATTAAAAATACTCGACGAGGAATGTTGATGTAGAATGTAGATAGCAGGTTTTTTTAAACTTGGAATGTTATTTTTTTATTTCGTTACAAACTGAGCTTAGATAAAACAATATTGGTAATGAAATTGTTAACAAGAATGAATAATCGTTTACTTCATTTATTGTTTTTACGTTAAAACTGCAGGTTAAAATGTTTAAAGTTCCGAATGTTAACTAACAGATTGGATCCATGATATTAACTTATATTTTTTATCACGATTTTATTTTGAGCGTAATAATAACAATTGTATGTTTTAAAAAATACATTATATAAAACAACCTTTTGCAATTGAGAACAGTGGAAAATTTTATTGTCCCCATAATTAGCACAGAAACCATCCATTGAGCATTAAAATATAATTTTTTTTTCAGATCTCTTACATCATAGCACGAAACACGAACTATACAATTTGTAAATTATTTTTATACAGCGGAATAATAATAAACTGTTCTTATAAACTACATACTATCAAATGCTACATGAGTTGTGCGTTACTGGCTACAAAATAAACAATGGGCTTTAAAAAATAAATTCAAAATTCGAAGTGTGTAGGTATAGATAACAATGGTGTACCATTCTTAATTACTGTTTTTTATTCGAAAATCAAAATTAAAGGTCTTAAAAAGTATACATATTTGATTCAATTCTCCAGTGAACTCAATATAGAAAACAATGTGTTGAATTTCAGAAAAATAATGAATTTCAGAAAAATCGACAATGCGATGTCTTACATTCAGATACACACGGTTGGTAATTGTAAACATATAATAATATATATAATAAGGTAATTCGAATACATAGTAACATAAGTTGTTACTATGTATTCGAAAATAACAACTTTTGAGTATGAAAAACGAAAATAATGCTAGATATTTTCTACTGTATATTGAGAGAGATGATATTTTATTATTCGATAATTTATACCGAAGCTTACCAAAGTGTGGCAACGTCGGAATTTCGGTAACAGTATACTATTGCCTCTGAGTACCTTATCTGGCATTACAGTCGTAATTCAAAAAAGCTTAAATGTACAAGTAATAAAATCAATTATTGTTATGATTTTCAATATTTGATGTATTGAATATCGAAGTCATCAATTACTAAACCGATATTTTAGATACAAAAAATATAATGATAATTTCAATTTTATACGAATGTGTGACGCTGGCAAGAAAAAATACCTCACAATAAGATTATAATAAAAGGCAAAATAGTCTAATGTTTTTAAAATAATACTAACTACCGTATGTTTAAACTCTAGCTACTAGCCTAGCGACGGAACAAAGTTAATTTAAAATTTCTTCAACTAAATTTTACTCACAAATAAACGGCACTTTAGTCCGTATTCTTTACATGTCATTTTTAGTAAACAATCTCGGCATGTCATTTTACAATCGAAACATTAAAGATTTTGGTTATATTTATTTTATTTATTTTTTTTATAGAATGACAATATTGTTTACCAAATAAGAAAAAACAAATCACAGACCAACAAAAAGGTATAAACAACCTAATCATAAACTATAACTATTTTTTTTAGAATGGGAGTTAAGCTTCCCATATTTTTTATTTTATTTGAATGAATATATTTTATCAACATATATAACAATATTTATGAACGTCGAAGTGTACCTAATGAAAATAAAGAAGAAGAAATATCAAACTAAATGGTTTTAAATGTAATTTATTAACAATTCTGGCAACATGTTTGTGTAAAAATATTTTAACTGGCAATAAAAATGGTTTTGGTGGAAAAGTGTACGTGCATGAGCGAGCGCATATTAATTTATTTGAGCATGGCATTGTGGCTTCATTATCTATATATATAAAAATTAATGCCACTTTTCGTTGCAATTTTTATAACTCAAGAACGGGCTCACCTATCCAAACCAAATGTTTAAGCTTTGTTCGGACTATTTAGTAGATGGTTTATGTGAAATTTGCACAAAATCGGTCGAGCGGTTCTTCATTTATCACATTTTTTGTAACAAATTAATTCAATAAATGGCGGATCATTTTGGTAATGGGGATTTTTGTGTCAAATTCAAACTTTTTAAAGATGGGGATTGTGCCGTCAAATTAATTTTTTTTCAGTGTTGACAGTACAATTAAAATAGCTAGCAATTAATAAAATATTTTTTTTGTTTGAATAAATGAATTTGATGTGAAAAATTAATTTTTATTATTATTTCACTTTATACGTAGCAAAACACGTACCGAGCCGCTAATTATTATATATATATAGATTTATCTACACTTATTTGTTGATCTGGATCTATAATCATATCCTGATAGAACAATATAAAAGAGCAGTAACTTTGTTCTGACGATAGTCCTACAGTGTTCTATTAACATTCGAGGTACCCATAAGTTGGTACTTCGGCACAACCGTGTGCGCAGCCGCGCTCAACTAAAAACTGTCTCCATATAGATTCTTACAATTGACTCTGGACGGCTGTATGTGTTTATTAGTGCCTCCTGCTTACATCACCTGCAAATTTAAGATTTCAATTAATTACTGACACCCGAAAAAGATTTTATTCAAAGTGAGAAAAAACCCCGTCATCTTTGCGATCGTCATATAAGCCTTTAACTATCCACTGCTGAATATAAGCCTCCTCCTGGGGGGACTTTTCCAGTAGTTGCCATGCTTGGCAGGCGGATCAGCAACCATTCATTCATTATTCATCATCATCATAACATGTCCACTGCTGAACATAATGCCTCCCTTTTGGGGGGTTTTGCCAGTAGTTGCTACGCATGGTAGGGGGATTGGCAACCCCAGTTAGGCTTTAGAGATGTTTTAAGAGATACGCTGCTGCCGATCCCTCGCCCTCCTTAGTCGCTTTTTACGATACCCACGAGAAACAAAGACGTGTTCTATTCTATGCAGGGACCACACGGGACCATATCACTTTCGCAACACTCATTTTCAAGTTAACATTTTAATAAAAAAAATCAAATAGTTGAAATAACTTGTTCATGTTTAGAATTTTAAAATTGTCTTTGATTTCTCTGGATATCTCTGTGGTGCGCTATATTTGCATAGAACACTCAACATTTTTCTATCGTTTTTAGACTAGTGTTACTTTAGGAAAAAATATCTAACATTACTGTCGGGGATGGAAGGGAAACTCCCATTGCTAGCAATATATCCTGACAGGTCAACCTCCACGTGGAAACCATCGTACTAAATTCCAGGTGTATTCATCACGATGGTCTAATTGACCTCCCTTTTTATTCTCACCTATCATCTCTCACTGGTGCCTCGCCAGCGTACCGTTAACGCAGCCGGGAATACCATTCCATTATCATTCATTTAAAAAAAAAACACTGTCACTGAAAAAGTAATAGGCATGAACAGCGTCATGCACCAACACTATGAATATCACAGATTAAATATTTTTTTTTTATAGATTCTAATATAATGGTAACCCCGCCTGCCTGGTATATGCTGGCGGGTATCAGAGGACTATGGTGAAATTCCTTACATATTCCATACCCTATAATTTCTTTAAACTGAATCATCCATGTGAGCACAGCTACTTCGAAGCGAAAACACAAGGAAACATAGGTGGTCACTCACCTGCAGTATTTGGCTGGCCTCGAAAGCGGTGCCGGGCAGCAGCACGATGGGTGCAGCGACGCGGCCCGCCTCCACGCACACCATATTCGGGAACTCGTCGTCGCCGAAGTCCGGGATCTCTTTCGCGTAATCCGCCCACGGGTTCCAAATCACTGTCCACAAATAACTTGTTCATTTCATGGAATGTTCTACGCAAAGAAGCTTACATGAGTTACTGGATTACTACTGGATAACTACAGAAATTATTGGATTTCTTGTCTTTTCATGGAAACTTCAAGAAATCGTTTTATAACTATATTAACGTGTATAACAACAAATAAAGAATGATTCTGCCAAATATCAGTTTCGTAGTTCAAGCATTTTTAGAGATACGAATACTTCAATTTTTAAGTAAGGAAAATTAAAAATAATTATATATACTCTCAATTTACTCTATGCGAGGCATGGTAAACTGGTAAAGACCACCATGAAATGCTATATCCTTATGTACAATTTTTAAATGTGTACATAAGGTTTAATTAATTAATTATACATGTGAAAATGTTAGTCACCGCTTGCTCCAATTATTCTAAAATTAAGTATACACACAACACCTAACGCAAAAAAGAGGTGTTATAAAAATGAGATGTCTGTGTGTCTGTATGTGGGATATTCGTTTAGGGGCTATGCCCTAAACGAATGGACCGATTATGATTCATTTCATTTTTGTTTGGAAGCTGACGTGATCGAGATGGTTTTTAGCTATAATTTATAAAAATATGTTCAGGTGTTTCAAGGTAACCAGCTCTTCTTATAGTTTTGTTGTGTAAGAGATTTTTTTTTTTTAATTTTAATAAATTTGTAATTACGGTATGTACGGCAGGCACTAATCTCTCGACTTATAAATTTTATTTCACCTAATTTGAAGTCATAACTATCTATTGATTTAAGAGGGTAAGACTTCTCTTTAGAAGAGAGGGAAGGGAGAGACCAAAGTATAATTATATCAGACAGATTGAGCGAAAAAGTCATTGTCATTTCGTTTTAATAGATAAGGAGACTCGCCGAAAATCGTGGTGGCAGGCAAAAGCTCCACCAACAAGAACGCGTCACTTAAATACTTATTTCCCTATTAATATTATAAATGTAAAGAGTGTTTATTTGATTTCTTACTTCTTAGTTTTTTTTTTTTTTTATACAACTTAGAATGGTAAACAAGCTGACGGTCCACTTGATGGAAAATGGTAACCGTCGCCTATAGACATGAGCAGTACCATGGACATAACAGAGTATACTGTTTCGCCCATGATACCCCTCATGCGTTGCCATTCCTGAAGACTCAGGTGTTATTCCTCTGTACCCAGTAAATTCACGCCATATCCCACCCTTCAAACCGAAATACAGCCATGCAAACACAACTGCTTCATGGTTGAAACACGAATGGGATAGAGGTACCCAAGCAATCGACTTTTGTACAAAGTCTCCCTCTGGTAGAGCCTTAATAACTTAACCAATCACAATATAATTTGGTATACAGGCACTATATGGGATAAAAAAAGACATATGCTAATTTTTATCCCGGTAAATGGACATATCCCGACTACACGGATGAAGTCGTAGATAAAATCTGGTAATGAACTGTCTATTAAAAAGAAAATATTACAACACCGACCAGTATCAGGGAAGTTATATTTCTGTATCCTCATCTTGCGCCCGCTGACCACATTCGTGATGATGTGCTCCTGCATCGTGTTCTGGTAAATCCTGTCCGTCCACTCGTTGATGGTGACCACCTCGCGGGTCTCTTGGTAGACAGCGCCCTCTCGTGTCTGTAGTGTGTAAATAATATGTTTTTTATTTAACAGCTCGACATGTGATGCTACATCAAATGTAATCAGAAGCAAGATTCAATATACAAAGCAGTTTCAAAGATATTTCCTCCCACGAACGCTCATGGAATGAACTCCTTATCGAGGTTTTTCCAAGAGACTACATCATGGGGATCTTCAAAAGTAGGGTTTTTCAAAAATTGGGTAGAGATTTTTTCAGGGTCGGCTACGCGCGCGTAATGCCTCTGGTATTGTAGGTGTTTGGCTATGGTAATCACTTACAATCAGGTGGGCCGTATGCTTGTTTGCCACCTCGTAGGGATGTCTAAATTTTTTGAAAATTATCCACAGGTGTAAGATATTTTAAAATCGATTGTGTAGTTTTTGATTATCCATTACAGACACATTGCCTGTTTATCTTGCTTTTATGTAATTAAGTTTTTGTAATATTTTTTTTTTGTGTACATATTGTAACTCTTTATAATCTGTATTATTCTTTAAAGGAAACAATAAAGAGTTCTCATTCCTTCATTCATTAAAAAAAAGAATCCTTTCCTCTTTGTAATATTATTTCAATAACTTTATAAATAAAATAAGTGTACCTTATGAAGCAGACTTAAGGCTAGTAGCATTTTCTAGCAGTCAACCTTTGGGACTTTATATTTTATGTATATACTTTAGATGATCATGTTTACTTTATCGATGAACATGCAGCCATGCATGCCGGTGATCTGACAGCGGCGAACATCAGGCACTTTGAAGTACGTGTGTAGAAGCAGTTGGCAGCTGAACGTCAGCTCTTTGCTCGGGTTGTACACGCCGATGTTGAAATGCAACTCCTTCTCGCGTAGTATTAACCGGTACGTTAGTCTGAACCTGATGAACAATCATTGACAGATATATACAATTGTTAGATACGCCAACGTATGAAAAGTTAGACAATACTCTGGAATACAAAACATATAAATTTATCTTGTGTCAAAATACTATATAACTACTCTATATACTCGTATATGTCGACACCAAAAAATTTAAAAAAAAATATATAAATAAATTTCCGGTGACGAGTAAACTCGTTATTGCACTAGTGTGTAGGTACGTCCTCCTACCACGACGGGCAACACCGTTTGGATTACAAAGCGTTTATGACCAAAAAATTATTTTTCTTTGTATTTAGCTTTTATCGCAATTTTAGTTTAATTACAAAGATTATAACCATGACGGAACTCCCGGTCAGTAAAGAGTTAAACAGTCAAATAATATCACACATCACATAATGTCACAGACATGTTAGAACAATATAAGGCTTTGGGCAAACTAAAGTCAACCATTAGAATTTTCTGCCTATCTAAAAACTGCACTTTTTGCACTTATGACCCGCGCCACGTTATTGGGTAACGGGAAGTTATGTCCTTCACGAGAGATTTATGACGGCACAGATAAAATTTTTCTTCTCTGTACAAACTCTAAGTAGAAGGGAGAAGGAATTGTTAGTAATGCGGACTACCAGTCCTATTGCTAGGAATATACCCGATCAGGTCCTCCCTGGAACCCACCGCGCAGAATTCCTGATGTATTCATCACAGTGGGCTAACTGGCCTGCCTTTTTATTATCACCTATCATCCCTCACTGGTGCCCTGCCAGCGTATACCGTTAGCACAAGCGAGACTACTATTTCATTATCACCTATTAAAAACTCCCATAAGTACTTTAACATAATAACTCACTGGAAGTGCCACATGGACCTCGTGAAATCGTCATCCATAAGGCTGAAGACCGCCTCCACGTCGCCGCTGGGGAGCCGCTCCGGCATCTTCTCTACGTGCCAGCGTGCCACCCGCGCGAACCCGTGCTGAGGACCGAACGCCCATTGTCCGAATTGAGCTGGAAAAGCCAAATAAGTAGGAACTTATCAGTAAACGGAAATTACTTTATGAACATTAAAAAAAGAATTTTAAATTGATTTAAAAAAGGAATGTCATAAGAAATTTTAATAATTGATTATTATTATTAATTTCTGATTTAAGTCACGGTTTTTATTAGTTTATATTCATATTGTTTTCCGTGGATTGTACGCGATGTGATCGAAATAGAATGAAAAATTTTGTTTTTTATACAAGACATAAATTTTTATACACCCGAGTCCTTAGAATAACGAAAAAGGGTGTCATAGGAGGTCATATATTCAAGAAAGTCTATATATTTGTACGAGCATGTTTCCTTAGACTTTATATCAACCAAGCCATGTTACAACAATAGGAAAATATAAATGTACATTGACTATTAACATTTGTAAGTACTAGTTGTGTCCATAGATTTTGCACACATGAATCGGGTTAAAAGGTATCCATATACGACTATATAGGCTATAGCCTATCTGTATAACAAATTGCATTCAAATCCGCCCAGCCGTTTAAGCATGATTATGTAACAATAAATTTTAACATCTATACTACATATTACAATAGTATTTATGTTTATATTTATTTAAGCAAATATAATTCAGTATATGTATAGATAAATCGTACTTACGAAATACAAATGGTATTCCTCCCCGTATCGCCCTTTTGCCATCGAAAACTGCTTGTTTACTGTAAAAAGAGATAAAAGTTAGTGAGAAAAAATATGATAATAAATATATAAAAACGTTCCGTTTATATTGATAAGATAATTCTCGAATGTGAATAAAATATATACAACCCGGGGGTCTTACAGGTGGTATACTTAATATGTGAATCAAAATCGTCCGTTGCGGCTGTCTGTCTATTCATTTAGGTAAAATATCTCAGTTACTCGCTGGATTTGATTACGATTTCCTTAATTTTTTTAGGTAATTGATCAGTGGAAGAGTAGATTATATGTTAGGGGACCTAAATAACATATATATCTTATAATGTTTATTTGTGTGCTGTGATGTACATAAATTATATATCTATCTATCTATCTTTAGTTTAAGCTCTAATTAATTATCTATAATGGAATTAAAATTATGTCTGTACCTTCTGTTTTTGCATCTTGTTTTTTATGCCAACGCCATCTAGTGGCAGTATATAATGCGGTATCGAAACTCATTATGCTACTGTAAATTGCTACGCCTTAACAGAAACTACGAGAATATCTTTATATACCGTTATCGAAGCTTCTTCAGCACAAATCAATTTTATCGGTGTGAAACCGAGTTCCCAAATAAAAAATAAAAGTACAAAAATTTTACCGAGAAAACAGTTTTAAAAACGGAAGTACCAATTTCTAAAATTGATTTTTTAGAGGCTCTAAAAAGCAAAAAATGAATGGCGTTTTTTTTAAGGGACAAGCAGATCTGTCATCAAAATCATTTTTTGATGTATTTTGATACTTATTATATTACGGATATTTTTAATCGTTTCAAATAGATGGAATGAATAACGTTTATTTAATACAAAATATTTATACTGCACCGAAGCGAAGCTGGAGTGGTTACTTGGTAAAGTAAAACGCCTTGAACTTATAATATTATTATAACCTAATAATTAATATATACCTATACACTTATCAATGAAATGCTATCGGCTAATACATATATTGCATATTTCAATATTTATGTGGGAGTGTTTGTATTGGTCTGGACGTTTTCTATGAATCTACGACAATTTACAAAAAAAAAATACAAATAAAGTACCCCGTAGTACAACCTCTGCTTGTTTGAGACTATACGGCGTTGTGTGAAATAATATTATAAAAAGTAAAGATTTGATTGTTTGTAATAGATAAATTCAAAAAGTACTAATGTTAATTAAAAAATTTTTTACTTATAGAAAGTAACATTATCAGCAAGTAACATAGATTGTATTTTATAAAAAAAAAACCGAAGCCAGTACTAGTCGCTAGTAATTAATAATATTTTTTTATGTTTTTGATGGGTGAAAATGGTATGGTAACCCTGCCTGCGCTAACGGGATACGCTGGCGGAGCACCAGTGAAGGGTGATAGATGAGAATGAAAACAGGCCAGTTAGCCCATCATGATGAATTCATCAGGAATTAACCATGATAATTTCCAGGGAGAACCGCGAGGAGGTCGACCTGGTTGGGTATATTGCTACTAGGAGACTGAAAATGCTATTGATTCTCAGTCTCCATTACTAACAATCCCTTCCCCCCCCCCCCCCAATATTATTATTTATACTTATCCACATAGATAATTTAATGAGATGAAGTGAAATGTTCATATTAAACCGAGTCCAAATGGCACATCTATAGGTCGCCAGAAACAGCAATTAAAGGAGGGAAAGAGATTGTTTATAATGGGATTTAACAGCCCCATTAACAATATATCCTATCAGGTCAACCTCCACGTGGTTCCAGCTGGAGACCATGCTAAATAGTTCTTGTTGAATTCGACAAGATATGGCAACTGGCCTACTTCACCCTCATCTTTCGTTATTCACTGATGCCCCGCTGGTATATACCAACAGCGCAGGCAGGCTTACCGTTTCATTATCAGCCATTATAATCAAAAACAGTAATTAGAGATAAAAAAAAAACAATGAACAGCGTATAGAACACGCAGGGAAGAGGTCCCGTAACTTTAATAAGCTCATACTTATACTATTGCTCATTTATTTTACCATCATCATCATACGGCCTTAGCCAAAAGTATTTGCCACCCTAAAAATCATTAGAAATTTCTTATCCATTGAACTGTGCTGGATCTTTTGTCGCATAGTACAAGTGTAAAGATTAAAATGAGCCAATCAAAACAACGCACCATCTCATAAAACTATAAACACAATAGAGGTGACTCATTTCCAGGTAAGTCGAATTTTAGGGAAATTTTTAGCTTACTACGATTTATTTTAGTGTGAAGAACTGTCGGCAAATTATTGTAAATTGGTTGTTGTTTTACATGAGGTAGTTCATAGAAAACTAGAAAAAATGCTTAAGCGCTATAAATTAAGTAACGAGGAACGATTAAAAATCCAGTTGTTGTCTGAAGAAGGCAAAAATAAAAGTGAACTTTTATACCTTACGAGGTATACCTTAAATCGGTTCAAAATAACCACATATTACGAAAACTTGAAACGAAGTGGAAGGAAAACTATTACATCTGTAAGAGAAGACAGACAGTTGATGCGAATTTCATTGAAAAATCGTAAGAGAACATCTTCTGAATTGGCTGCTGAAGTAAGCGATTCTGAGGAAAAACTTCTGCTTGAACTGCCAGAAGAAGGTTCCAGGACGCTAGGCTTAAGGGTTATCTTGTGTCAAGGCCAGGAAGAAGCCATGATTGTCTGAGAAAAATAACAACATACGTTTGCAGTGGTGTTTAGAACATTAAGATAACACCGAGGAAAATTGGGCGAATATCATTTGGTCGAATGAATCCAATTTTGAGGTGTCATTTAAAAGATTAAACATTAATGAAAGACGTTTGAGATGTATTGAAGCTCAAATCTTATTACTTTATTAAATTTTAGGTATTTGGTACTGCAGGTGCTACCTATGTGAGACACAAAGTTGGCGAAGAATCCATACCGGAATGTATGATGTCGACTGTAAAACATGTGAAATGAAAAAATGGTCGTGTGTGAAGGCTGAATGGATTCGAAAAAATATATCGAGGTGCTGGAAACAGCGCTGGAACCATCATTAGATATGATATTTAGAGATACGAACCTAAATAGCGTCTGTTTCAACAGGATAATGCCCGGTTTAAAAGTGCAAGATAAAGAAACATTCGATTACTTCCAAAGAAACTTTAAAGAATTGTTTAGTACAGGAGTGATATGCCATAATTCCAGAAAAATGTAAAAATTTAATTTCTTCTTTAATCAAAAGAATAAATGTTGTAATTAAAGCTAATGGTTACAATACGAAATGTTAATGTAATTTTAGCATTAAAGGTATTTTAAGTACATGATTTTTTCCGTCCAAACCTTAAATATTATTTAAATTAATTGTAATTTTCTAAAATGGCAAATACTTTTTTTTTGCCGAGGCTGTATCAGTCGTTTACTGTCCACTGAACATAGGCCTTCCCCATAGACTACCATGAGAAGCGGTCCGGAGTCAAAGGACTGAAGCCATTTTCTCTTGGTATTTTCCATTGGGGGGAAATTACCAATAGATGCCACGCATAGCAGGCGGGTTTAGTAACCTTAGTTAGGCTTTGATGATATTTGTGCAGTGGCACGCTGCTGCTCATCGCATGACCATTAAGTTCCCTTAGTTACAGTTTACGACACCCACAAGGGAGGAAGGGCTGGCCCATTCTATGCCGGGACCACATAGCAATATAGTATATTAATATATAGCATAGTATTATTATAATACTAACCAAATAGTTTGCATTGTAGGTTCAAATAAAAAACGCGAAAAGCAGACCCCAAAAAGGGGCGTGGTCCATCTATGTGATCCTATTAGCTAAATATGAAAACTTAAAATATATTTCAAATCATTCTTGAATAATATTTTGCAAAAATGTTCCTAACTCACATGATTTTTACAAGGAATATTCATTCATTCTTCATTTACAAGTAAATCATATTTTTTACATTAGTAAGCCAGAATAAGGGGATGATAATGTTTACTACAATTCAGGAGGTTCATATCTCGCTATAGAAACGCTTAATTAAAAATAAATCGGTTCGTTTCATCGACTAGAGTGAATATTTAAATACTTTGGAGAATAGATTTCAACGACAACGCAACAACATATTTAAGAGACGAAATACAATTTGTTTTATTTACAGCTCTCCATAATTGTTCTAATGTTGAATTCTAACGTGCGCGGTGACATGCAGCCATTTCGAATGCTTTATTTACCATAACAGCAATAGTCGAAAAATGACTTTAACTTCATTACGGACTATAGAGGCGAGCATACTTTTTTATTATATTTATTTGCTAGGTTTCCAATGGAAACTTTCCACACTCCTAAATATCTTAATATTTATCACACCAACCACATGTAATAACGATATTAAAAGTTAAAATTTAAAATTACTTACATATTTTCTTAATAAATTGGGGCGAAGCTTGAACCTATACCATCTACCGCTTATTTAGTTGTTCATATGCTTAATTACAGTGTAAACGTGATTGAACTAAAGTTGTAAACAACCATTTGGATATAATTAAATTGAAATAAATTATTTTTGTTTGGCTACGGAACCCTTACTTAAGCGAAAATTACTCTGACCACAGTCATAACATAAGTAATTTATTTTTTGCTCTACCAAGCGGATGAGAACCCGGAACATTGATAAGTTTCATTTTGTTATCGTAATTAATTATATTATTATGTAATTAATTTGCTGATAAGTATCATTCACGAGAGTCAGTGATAAAAGTCAAAATCTAAACATACAGATATGTTGGTAAATATATAATATTAATGATCGTTTCCAATGGCTTAGGAACGTCTAGACCTAATTTTGAAATTTGTCTGTCTAGGTACATTTGTCCATGTCTTAATTTACTTACAAACTTCAATAAATAGGAAAATGTAAAATAAAAAAGCTAAAATAAAAGCTATTTTACGACTATTTTACGGCAAAGAAATATTAAATCGAAACTATATTATCATATATATATAAGTATATCACAAGGTA